CCTCTTACTTCAACATCAGCTCATGGGTCAACCCCGACGGCATGAGAAAATCTACGAGAACGCAGAGCTTGGACCTCGGAGCCTCCAAATCCACCACGCAATGCCAACTACAGTGAAAACGTATAGTAAGGACGCGTGGTAAGGACGCAAGACCCTTGGAGGCCGAAGTTGAAGTATTCGGGCCTGCGACAATTGCTGGGGACGGGCCGCAGAGGCTGAGGCAGGCAAGGACCCAAGGGTACCCTGAAAAAAAATCGTTTGTCCTTACTATGCGCGTTGACCGTATCCTTCCAGAAGAGCTCCGCCATGCCAGAGAGGCCTCAAGATTACCCAGGGAGGCCTCAAGACGATCCACGAGGGCCCGAGGAGAACCCCGAAGATGAAGTTGGCGGCGTGCACAAGGGGGTGGGGGGAGGGGGGAGGGCTTCTTAGAAGCAGGCTGCTTCTTAGAAGGCGCCGGCCTGACATCTACAGATAAGGCCCGCGCCTTCTAAGAGGCAGGGGTGCTTCTGAGAGGGCCCCCCCTCCCCCCACCCCCCTCTGCGCGTGGCCGATGAAGGCCTCAGGATGCACAGGTCATGTTGTGTTCACATGCTGCAGCGAGTCTATGTGTGCTCTTTGCCATCGCCAAAGCGCAACGCCCCCGGAGGCCTCGGCCCCTGGCGTGGCACCGGCGCACCATCCCAAGCGGTGCTCTGAGGATGGCCCCCTCCTCCTTCCTCCTCCTCTTCCTCCTCCTCCTCCTCCTCCTCCTCCTCCTCCTCCTCCTACTCGTCGTCCTCGTCCTCCTCGTCCTCCTCCTCCTCCTCGTCCTCCTCGTCCCTGGAGACTTGGGTCTGGCGTGTGGCCGGCTGGAGGAGCCGGGCGTTTCTAGAATCGCGCAAAGTGAACCCCACCCTCCCCCATCGGAAATCGTGGGGGGTCGGGGGAAGGTTCGCATGTGGCCCCCTAGGAAGGGCAGAAATGCCGGCGGGACGGGCGGTGCCAGCGGCCCCAGAGGTCCCAGACCAGCTCCCGGACGGGCTCCGACGCCTTCGACATGGTTGCCGCGGCTCCTATATATTGCCTCGAAGTGCTCTCCGCGGGGCCCCAAAACTCCAAGAACTCCCAGTATGGTCTCAGAACAGCTCGGGGGACCACGAATGTGTTTAGAAAGCTTCAGGGCGACTCTGGCGAAAGCCCCGACAAGCAACAAATGGCTCCATTCCCGTTGGGAAACTGAAATATTACGCATCGTATCTTTTTGTCCTTCCGAGCGTGGAGGCGTTCATGATCGGCCCAAGACGAGCCATGGGGCTCCAAAAACGGCCCCGAGGCGGCTCCAGGCGGCCCCCGGGCGGCCCAAGAGGCGCACAAGACAGCCCAAGAGGACCGCGTCAACCTGCCTCCAGGAGAAGGGGCGGGACGAGAGGCGAAAGGCCCATCGCAGGCGTAGAAGAGCACTTCTTCACGCTCCGGGGGCCCTGTTTTCTGGGCGGCTTCGTTGTAGGATCGAAGATCGACGATCGAAGATCGATGGAAGAACAAGAGAAGACGATGAACGCCGCAGTCTGTGGGCAAACGAACAACAACTAGTTCATCGAAGGATTCGGAGGGCGGAGCGGAGGGAGCGCGAAAAGAGGGAAGGGAGAGGATGAAAAAGGGAAGGTGAAGAAAGAAGAGGAAGAGGACAATAATAGCAGCACATGAGTCGACTTACGATGATCAAATATGACAGCGGCACGTCAGCGATGCGGCGTAAGCCGATGAATCCACGTCCGGAAGTGACGTGTTGCTGGAGGCAGATCCGCGGATGCTGTAATGCAGCGGATCCAATCGATCCACAGATTGCATAATTGCTACATGTTATATTATATTTCATTATTATGTATCCCCCCTTAACCCCCCTTCTGGAGTCGCGCCACATGTCCGTACCAATGTTGCGGCCCCCTTCTGGGGCCCCTGCACACGTACAAAAACTCATTGGGAAATCTATGAGTTGGGTCCCTGGGGCTTTCTGGGGGCCCAAAGAATGCGTCAACACGGCTCAAGATGGCCTCATGACGGGTCAAGACGACCCCATGACGGTCCAAGACGGCCTCAAGAGGGCCCCAAAAAAAACCCACGAAGGCCCCTGAGGACCCCAAGAGAACCCAAAAGAGCGCTTCCAAATGCTCAAATTATGTTTTTGCCGGTTGGTTTTTGAAAGATGTTAGCGTTCTCGGCTTCTTCTATCCTTAGAAATCCACGACGGCCCAAGCAGCCTCCACAATGGTCCCAGGACGGCCCCAGAGGCCCCCAAGAGGATCCCATGACGGCCCAAGAGGGCCCCAAGAGGGCCCAAAGAGGCCCCCAAAATTATCCAATCGGCCCCCAAGAAGGCCCAAGAGGACCCCAAGAAAGCCCGAAGGCGGCCGTATCGGGCGCTCTGGCTGACCCCCGTTTGAATTGACCCCCGTCTCAAAGCGCCCGATGGAAGCGGCGGATGCACTCCTGGCGATGCTCCGTGCCCGGTGCTCCTCCGAGGAGCGGCGGCCCCGCTACTCTGCCAGGCAGGGGTTTGCGCACTCGCGCTCGCCCTCCCCAGCAGGGGCGCCCTGTGCGAAACTGCTGCGCCGGGCTCCCATGACAGGCTGTATGCGCAAGGGCCTGGTGGAACTCTCGACAATAAGTAGAGTTAAGTCGGGCGTGTCACTCGGCAGTGGGAATGTTCAAGAACAGTAGAAAATAATTTCGGGACGACTATTTGAGCACATGTTTGCGAAATTGCTGAAGCATCTCGCCCACCAGCCTTCAGGGCGCGCGATGCGAATGCTTCTCCTGAAGGCGTATCTATTATTGTCGCGCCTGCCCTCTGAAGCTCTTCCGATTCACGTCGCTCGTGCAAGCGATCCACCGAAGGCGGACGAGCCGAAGTTCTGCCTAGTTCTTGATGACAATTCGATGTCGCTTACTCTGCGCTGGCGCAAGAACCGCACCTCGCCGATCACGATGTCGCGGACCTGTTTGTGCGCGCGCTGTAAAGCAACGCGTCCCGCGCACACGTTGGGCAAGGTTTTCGCCGAGGTCGAGTCCCGACAGCCTTTCGCGCATTTCCGCCCAGACTTGGTCTTAACGGCGCTGCGCGCAGCCCTGCAAGAGCTCGGGGTGTCCCAGCATCATGCGTATCGCACGCACGATCTTCACAGGGGTCACGTGCAGGACATGGCCGTCCGAGGTTCGCGGCTCGCAGACATCCTACGAGACGGAGATTGGCGTTCTGCGGCTTTCCTGTCCGATTTAAGTGAGGACGAACTGGAGGCGGCTGCCATCAGGGAAGCGCACGGCGACCTGTCGTCCAGCGACGATGATGAAGGCTAAAGGAGTAGCATGTTGGGCACCTCACGCGAGTGCGGCGATGGGTATTCCCTCGCGCGCCGGTGCAGCAAGTGCCTTGGGTGTCGCTGCACCCGCGCGCTCCCGCGGGGCGCGGCGACGCGAGCAAGGTGTCGCGCGCCCGCCCCGCGGGTGCGGGCCTACCCAGTGAGCAGCGCTCCCCGCGCTCTCCCCAACCCCCGCAAAGCTGTCTAGGGTATCGTCTGTTGTGTGCTATGTTTGGTATTGTTGAGTATGCTTCAATGTTTCGCCCAAAATCCCCCTGTAGGGGGAGAGGCCCGACCTAAAAGTAGGGCGCGGTGACGGGTGCGCGAACGAAGCGCGCAGCGATCGCTTAAAACTAAGACGTTTCAGTTTCTATTCGATTTTCACCCGCATGTGTTCGACCTCCGCAGCCCCTGTTTCCCAATATTCTGTCCCCAGAGAGGGAGCTCCGGCACGCCGTGCTCCCTGAACGGAGCCTCTGACGGACAGTGCTCCCTGAAAGAAGCTGCGCCTCAGTGCCCCCCGACAGGAGGCGCGCCTTGGCGATCCCTGAAGGGGGCAGTGCCGAACGGCTCCCCGATAGGAGCGGCACCTGAACGAAGGATTGCAACAAAAAAACGAAGGATTGCAAACAAAACTCGTTTTTTTGCAATCCTTCGTTTTTTGTTGCAATCCTTCGTTCAAGTTTTTTTGCAATCCTTCGTTCAAGTGAGGACTTCCTGAAAGGAGCTGCGCCTGAGTGCTCCACGACGGGAGCAGCGCCCGGGGCCCCCGAGGAGCTGCGCCGAGACGCTCCCCGACGGGAGCGGCGGGGTCCAGGATGGGAGCTGCGCCAGCACGCTCCCACGAAGGATTGCAAAAAAACCCTTGAACGAGGGATTGCAAAAAAACCCTTTGGGCTTTTTTTTTTTTGCAATCCTGGGTTTTTTTTTGCAATCCTGCGTTTTGTTTGCAATACTTCGCAGGAGCGGCGCCGACCGAACACGCGGCTGCGGACGACGTGGGATCGTGGCGCCGCTGCCGAGGTCCTGCCCACCCCCGCCGCCCTCTGCGGCCTTCGCCGGCGCCTGGCCCTGGCCGGGTGCCCCGGGGAGGACACCCAGAGGGCGCCGGCCAGGCGGCGCTCTTCACCTGCCCAGGGGCGCTGGCCATCCCTAATGCGGTGGGCCCAGGTGCCGCAATGATTTCCCAACGGATTCTGCAAGAGTCTCGCGTTCTCGCCTTGTTCGACCCTCGGGGGTCCATGACGGCCCAAGCAACCTCCGAGATGGCCCCAAGACGGCCACAAAGGCCCCTAAGGCGGCCCCATGATTGCCCAAAGACGCCCCCAAGACGGCACAAGGGGCCCCCAAGACGGCCCAAGAGGATCTCAAAAGAGCCCCGATGCGGCCCCGACAGGCCCCCAAGACGGCCTCCGAAGGGGCCAGACGGCGCAAGAGCACCCCAAGACGGCCCAAGAGGCCCCCGAGGCCTCAAAGCGCCTCAAAGAGGCCCTCAAAAGGCCCCCAGGAGCCCCCAAGAAGCCTCCAAGAGGCCCCCCAAAAGCTTCCAAACGGCCCCAAGAAACCACCAATGGCCCATGGAATTCTATACAAATGCCGCGATGTTGCGATGGCCATCGGAGCTTGAACTTGGCGTTGCCTTGTGCCGACACGTGGTGCATGCTCATTGCCCTCGTGGACATTCGCACGCTCGTCCCGGCGCTGAAACGGGGGGGCGCATCCGCCCCCCGTGGCGTTGGCACCGCCCCGGGGCGCGCAGAAGGACACAGCAGAAAAGCGCAGCAGACGAGCAGGGCAGACTACCCAACGCCCACTCTTGACGTGCTCTGGACGTGCACCACGCGAAGCGAGAGGAAGCACAACCGGAGCCCCAGACCCCATCTTTCTGCGCAAGCTTTCGAGCTGGGTCGCTCTGCGAGGGTGCTGGGGCCCGAAACCGGGCAAGAACGCGGGCGGTGAAAACGTTGCGACGCCAAGATCTCAGGGTCGCCGTCGCTGCGCCCTCGTCGCCGTGCTGCCGTCGTCGTCGTCGCCCCACGAGGCGCAGGTGGGCGTGCGCCGCACCGCAAGAGCGGACGCGGCCTGAACCCCGCCCCGCCCCCGGAGCTCCACACCATGGTGACGGACACGCAGACCACCTCGTCGGCGCGGGAAGGCGGAGGACCTCCCTCCCTCAGGCGGAGGGGGAGTGGTCGGGGAAGGGGGGGAGGGGGAGGCGGAGTCCTCCCCCTCCTCCTCCCCTCCTCCTCCTCCTCCTCCTCCTCCTCCTCCTCCTCCTCCTCCTCCTCCTCTTTCCTCATCCCTCCTCCGTCCTCCCTCCCCCCTCCTCCTTCTTCTCCCTCCTCCCCCCCTCCTCTTCCTCCTCCTTCGTCTCCTTCCCCCCCCCCGCCCCACGCCCCCCTCCTCCTCCTTCCACCTCCTTCCCCCCCGACCTCCCCCACCCCCCACCTCCCCCTCCTCCTCCTGCTCCTGAAGGTGGAGAGGCCAACGAAGACGCGGGCCACCTCGTTGCCGTGGGACCGCTCGTTCTGCACCCACGTCGCGTCGTCCGACGCCTCACTTGAGCAGGGACCGACCGTCCCGGCTTTCCTATAGTCACACCACGACATGTTCTTAGAACCCAAAAATGTTCTAAGAACCAAAACAATGTTCTTAGAACATAAACGCGATGCGATAAAACAAGACAGACTCCGCAAGAAATGTTCTCAGAACATGTCGTGGAAACCACAAAAGGTTCATGGAACATTGGTTGGTAGGGCTATAGGCGAGCCGGGACGCTTCGCCACTGCTTGACTCACGGCCATCTGCCGCTGCCGGCCCCGCGGCACGCGACGCGTGGCAGCGCAGACGCTGACGCTGACGACGACAACAGCGGACGGGCAGCTGGCGGCGGCAGCGATACGTGACTTGGTCAATGCAATGCCTCCTCCTCCTCCTCCTCCTCGCTCCTCCTCCTCCTCCTCCTCCTCCGCCTCCTCCTCCTCCTGCTCCTGCTCCTGCTCCTGTGCTCCTGCCCTCCCGCTCAAACAGACTTCAGTATGCAGCGGACCAATGCGCGGCGTAGAATGGCTGTGCCGCCGACGATGTCAAACAGGCAACCATCCCTCGAGCACCCCGCATGCACGACGAGAAGGAGGAGGAGAAGGAGGAGGAACGAACGAACGAACAAGCCTCGGATCCCTCTGAATCGTCAACTGGCAACCAATGCTGAAATTGACGACTTGCCCCCAGGATCTGGCTGATATCACTTCATGCCAAGGGCTTGCAGGAGAAGGAGGAGGCGGATGGTGGGAGCTCCCCCTTCTCATCCTACATCGTCAACTCCTCCTAATTACTCCGGATTCTCCCTCATCCACTCCATCTGCTGCCCAGCTGGAGGCGTGCCGACCAACTCTGCGAATCTCATTCAGATTCCAGCGGCGCATGCGGAAGATAATCCCAAAGGTGCCTGGATCGTTGGGGCGCCGACATCTCCAAAACTACTTTGGATCCATTAATAATCGGTCCGCCCCGAATGAACCGCACCCACCCCTCCTTCGCGACATAATTTTCCGGACCCCCCCTCCTCACGGGACGCCTTAATATTCGGGACCCCCCACAGAGCAACATTGCGAGCGCGATCGTTCATGACGGTGGCAACTTCAGTGGTAATGGTGGAGATAAGGAGACGCGGTTCCGATCATGGGGTTGGACCACACTGATGAGTGACGTGATGAGCGCAAGGGCTATCCATGCACCCCCCGCAGAGTATTTGCAAAGGGCATGGGGTCCCCGGAACAATAACGGCCCGACCCCGACACCCGACCCCAACGGGCTCATTTGAAAACCCGCCCACATGCATGATGAAGCATACGTCAAAGATTGACGGCGAAGATTGCACCCCAGGGGAAGTGAATTGCGCAGCAAATGGCGGGAGCAGATGTGATCGCACTTCTGATGATGGCGAAGGTGAACGCCTGCCGATGATAGCGGTAATGGAACACACATGCTGTTCAGTGCGCATACGGAGCACGACGCGGACGGCGATGCTAGCTGCCATCTCCCGCCGCCCTCCGCCGCACCCTGCCCCGGGGGATATCAGGTGGCAGCCCCTTCGCCTCGATCCTCGGAGGCGAAGCGCTCTCTGAAGCGCCTCATCTTGCTGCCAGCCAAAGGGGGGAGGAGGAGGAGGAGGAGGAGGAGGAGGAGGAGGAGGAGGAGGAGGAGGAGGAGGAGGAGGAGAAGGAGGAGGAGGAGGAGGAGGAGGAGGAGGAAGAGGAGGAGGAGGAGGAGGAGGAGGGAGGAGGGAGGAGGGACTCAGCGGAGGCGGCCTCGCTGCACTCCCGCCGCCCTTCCGCCGCCCTCCCCCGGGGGATCGGATGGCACCCCCTTCGCCTCGATCCTCGGAGGCGAAGCGCTTCCTGGAGCGCCCCATCTTTGCCGCCAGCCAAAAAGTGAAGGGGCCCTGGGACACACAAATAAATACACACAAAGAAAAACATTCCCCATATTTTCCCATACCTTCTGGGTTTCTGTCTTCCCCCCACTTCCCATGTTTTCCAATATTTTCCGGGGGAATCGAGGATTAATCGTGCCTGTGTGTTTCCTTCCCTCCTGAATTCTGCCGCCAGCCAAAAAGAGAGGGTTCCAGAACGCCGCCGCCGTCTTCGTCCCCGTCGTCGTCCTCCTCGCAGTCGTCGTCGCCCTCGCCGTCGTCCGCGCCGTCGTCGTCCTCGCCGGCGTCGGCCGTGCGCTGCTCGGTCGCTCGACGGCGGCCAATGCGGCCCACGCACCGCGGGCGGCCTTGTGCACCAGGTGGCCGTGCGCCAGCTTGGCCGCCGCGGCGCTCGCGGCCGCCGGGTCGCGCGCGTGGGCGGAGGCCGCCAGCGCCAGCTCCAGCGGCTGGCTGCCCCGGTACAGGGCCTCGCGGTGCACATGCTGCTCTCGAGGAGGGGGGCGAGGACGGAAAAGGGGATGGGGGGGGAGGAGAAGTGGAGGGGGGGGGGAGCTGAGCAGGCGGAGGGCTTCGCAGACCCCCTCGCCTTTGAGAGAAGCCGCCGAGCCCCTCTGAGCAGCCCCTGCCTTCTGAGGAGGGAGAGCGACCGCAAAGCTTCACCTGTCTCAGCCTCGACCGCCGTGCAAATCCAAAGATCGCCGGGCAAAACAGGAACACCACACGAGCCGACCTGCGATTGGCAAACCTATGCACTGAACCGTTACCTGATGAAAAATGATAGAGCGTGACTAGGGGAACGAAGAATGCCATAAACATAACAACTCGGAGATCCGCGCGGATTTCTTGCGTCCGCGCTGGACCCCCCTCCCTGGAGCGCGGAGCGTGCCGGAGGCGCCGCCAAAAGGGTCCAGCGCGGATCCGAGGAATCCGCGCATTCTTCGTTCCCCTACGATTGAGCGTGGCGCATGTGCATATGTCGGCTACACGCAAGAGAGGCCCCAGGCAACGTTGGCCTTGGGTGCGTGGCCGGCCAATCGTCGCCGGCGGTGCGAAGAGGTCGACGGTAGCAGCGTTTCTGTGCTCTGACGCCCCCGCGACGGCGCCCCAACGGAAGGCCGCGAACCAAAGGTCGCTCGGGCGAAGGGTCACTCTTCGGCAGAGCGCACAACCCAGACCCCCGATGGCAATGAAACAAAAACATGACGGGATTTGTTTTCCTGATTGTTCAGCCTCTGGGGGCCCTTACCGGCCCTCGGGACCGTGACAAAAACGACTCAGGACGCAAAACCGGTCCCGGGGAATGGGTCGAGACCTCTGGGGGCCGACGTCATGAACAAATCATGACGTCGGGGGTCTGGGAAGGGGGTAGGGTGAGAGGGAAGGCTTCTTAGGAGGCTGCCTCTTAGAACGCGCCAGCCTTGCATCTATAGATAAGGCCCGCGCCTTCTAAGAAGCAGCCTCCTTCTGAGAAGCCCTACCCCCTCCTCCTGCCCACCTCGTCTGCGCGTGGCCAAACTCTGACGCGTGACCAAAGTCCTCATTATCCTCCTGTGAAGTTTCGCCCCTGGCCCTCCTTCACCCCTCCTTCCCTCGCCTCTCCCCATCCCTCCCTCCCTCCCTCCCTCCCTTCCTCTCTTCCTCCCTCCCTCCCTCCCTCCTTCACACGCCTCCTCCTTCTCCTCCTCCTCTTCCTCCTCCTCCTCCTGCTGCTCCTCCTCCTCCTCCTCCTCCTCCTCCTCCTCCCCTCTGTCTCCTCCTCCGCCTCATCTCTTCCCCTCCTCCTCCTCCTCCTCCTCCTCCTCCTCCTCCTCCTCCTCCTCCTCCTCATATTGTTTCCTGCCTGCCTGCGAAGGCAGGGACCAGTCAGGGCACCTGGACCATGAGAAAGAAAACAGGAGGTCCCTCAAGGGAAAATGTTTTGCGTCCTGGTGTAGGCGCGTCAGTCTCCCCGCAAGGGGAACCTCCTCCTTCTCCTCGTCTTCGTCCTCCTCCTCCTCCTCCTTCTCCTCTTCCTCCTCCTCCTCCTCCTCCTCCTCCTCCTCTGCCTCTTACCCCTCCTTCTCTGCCATTCCTCTTGGGATAGGGGACGAGGCCCGGCGGCAAGCTTAGTAATGGCACTGCCGCCAAGAGCGGTCAAGAGACTAGAACCGAACGGCATCAGCTGCTGGACTGGAACAAGGTAATAAGTGAATGCGCGGTCTCGCCAAGGCCTCGCATTGCTCTCCGCCCCCCCCCCGTCCCGTGTCTCGCCCTCGCCCGCCATCGAGAGAGCTCAGCCCTCCCCCATCGCCACCATCCTCCTTCGGGAGTCCGCATCCATTTCGCGGTGTGCGGGCCTCCCGACGGGCTACAGTCGGGGCCCTGAAGAAGGAACTCTTTTCGTTGGGGAGGGGCTCCGCGTTCCTTAAGTGTTTCGCAGCTTGCCTCAGGTTTTGCTTTATGTTTTCGATCGGGAGTCGAAGTTTAACTTATGGAAAAAAAACGGGCCTCGTTCCTTATGTTGGGTTCCTTAGGTCAAGGCCCCGACTGTACATGAGCTCTACATGGAAGTGCCCATGGGAGCAGACCACAACATAGAAGCGGGCAATGGCGACGAGCGGGTGCCGTTCGACCGCGAGCCTATCGTTGTCAGCCACAGCGCTCGGGCCACGGCCTGTGCCACAGGCGGGGGGTGGCAGCAGACGATCAGCTACAACGCTCGGGCCACAGCATTGAAGGGGCCCCAGGACACACAAATACACATATGAAAAATATTCCCCTGACTTTCCCATATTTTCTGGGTTTCTGTCTTCCCCCCCACTTCCCATATTTTCCCATATTTTCTGGGGAGTCGAGGGTTAACTGTGTCTGTGTGTTTCTTTTCCTCCTGAAGCATGCGAGGACGGCGACCAGTGGCAACTGGCAGGGGACGCCGCGCGCAAGGCAGCTCACCGCGGCGGCAGATGCGAGAAGGCGAGCAGTGGCTGCCGGTGGAGGGCTCGGGCCACGGCGTGCGAGAACAGCAGGCAGCGACAGCAGGCAGCGAAGGGGCCAGCTCGGGTGGAAACGCGGGTGGCGAAGGAGAGCCGGGATCGCCCCACGACCCCAGCCGAGGGGCAGGGACCGGGGTGGACTGCGAGAAGGGGGTGCAGAGGCGGCAAGCGGCGGGAGGAAGGTGAGCCCCCTGTCATTAGCTGCGTCGCTCGGGCCACGGCCTGCGTGCAAGTCGTGGAAGCGCTCAACTCGCCACAACGACCGTGCAAAGGAGCCGCGCGTGCGGGCGAAGGAGGGCCAGGCCCGCCTCACGACCCCTCGCACGAGGCGGGGACCGGGGTGGTCAGCGAGGCGTGCAGCAGTGCCAAGCGGGGGGGAGGAAGGCGAGCCCACCGTGACCATCTCTAGGGCAGCGGTGCAACGGCCTGCGAGAAAGGCAGGCAGTGGAAGCTGGGAAGGCGCGCAGGCTCCGCATACTCGGCTTCAGTGCGGGGCTCAGCTTGTGCGAAGGAGGCGCACCTTGGAAGGCAGGGCGCGCCAGGCACAAGCGATCGGCTGCAGCGCAGGAACCAGCTCGCGCGAAGGAGGCGCAAGGTGTGCGGGGACGGGGAGGACGCGGCCGTGGTACAGGAGCCGCGGCGGCAGGGGCGATCATCGGCTATGGATTGGCTCAGCCGAGCGGAAACACACACACACACACACACACACGCCATGCCCATCAGCTTCAGTGCTGGAAGCCGCTCGCGTGGAGGGCGCAGGGGCCTGCGCGGCAGGCTGGCAAGAAGCTGAGATCCAGCGTCATCAGCTATATATTAGATTGCAGCGACAGGGCGCCAGCTAAGCAATGTTTTCCGTGTTCGTGTTGTTGCAGTTTCCCCTCGTTCTGCACTCGTTCCGCCTTCGCAGCCAAACGAATCGAGAACGAAAACGGTCCACGAAATCGCCAAAACACCGTTCAGCTCGCGCCCTGTGCAGCACTCCTCTTCAGCTGGGCTGAGGATAGCGTGCAGCAGAGGTGCAACTACCACGCGGACTGTGCCCATGGAGGTCCGCGTGTGTAGAGCGCGAAGGGCCACTGAAGAATCCCACCAACCATTTAGCGCGGAGGTGGTTTAGAGCGCTTCCTGTTCCAACTCCCTTCTTCCCCTTCGGGGAGGGATTTACTAGCCAGCCGCTCTGCGGTTGATCGGGAGCTTCTGCATATGATATGGAAGGAAGTGCGTGTGCTTATGGGCGAAAGGAGAATGAGAGGGAGGCGGTGGTGCAGCGGGTGAGGATTGCGCCTGGGCGAGAAGAGACTGAGCGTGTGCGTGTGAGCGAGGGGGAGCCCCAGATTGGAACACGCCCGAGCTGATTTTTGCGAGGATGTCTCGAGCGAGAGCCCCCGACCACCTGGTGCGCCCCAGCGCGCGCTGCCAGATCCCTGGAATTGGTCCATGTGGGCGCGGTGGCATTGGGCATGACTTTCTCGCGCGGTCGACTGCGTGAGGATGTCTCGAGCGAGAGCCCCCGACTGGGACACGCCCGGTGCGCCCTGGCGCTCCCCAGCGCGCACGGGCAGATCCTTGGAAATGGTCACTTGGGGCGCTGGCCTGACTTTCTTACGTGCCGTGGGTCGACTTTGAGAGGAGGTCTTGAGCGAGAGCCCTGGACTGGGACGCGCATGGTGCGCCCCAGCGCGTTCTGGCGAGTGAGGCCCGGGGGGCCCGTTTTCTGAGGATGTCCGCGCCTGTGTGGAAGTCGTCGCAAGA